GAGGCTCCAGAAAGAACCAATGGGCACTGGGCACTACATCGTCCACCACACCAGTGACAACATGGCCATAGCAAGTGAATCGCTTCGAAATTTATGTCTACAGAACTTGCTTCGCTATCCGGATTTGATTGAAAATGGATTTGAGGACCTTCCCTTAGAGATCACACAAGCTATTCTTCATTCTTCTATTCGTAGTTACAACCTGACTACGTTTAAACACGTCTTAAAGTTTTGGCCTATGCGAGTAGTTGTGTTGCGAGGAAATTCCTACTTGGAGGAAGAAGGCCAGTTTGTTGGAAAAGCTGTCGCTGAGTATATCCCTGAAAGAGACGAAACTGATACGGTTCAAGTAATTGACATAAGAGAAAGAGATCTTGGTGAGTGGGGCTACATGACACTTGAGGGTCTTCCAGACAGGGGCGGGGGGTGTTCTTGCTCCCTTCCGTTGAAATTTTCTGGAGGTTGGAGGGTTCCGTAAGACCAAACAATTTTGAGAAATGTATGAGGCTTATTTGGAATTTCCAGAGGGGTGGGGGACAATCAGCAATTTCAAATCCTTCTCTTTTTTGTGAAATCAAATTACTTCTTGTCACTGTCACTATCGATTCCAATTGCAAAAGACAAACGCATTGCTGCTTTCCGGCCCACCATTGAGATAAACCACCGTAGCAACAGCTATTCTCTGTCTCCAGTTGAGATTGACTACGTTCCCTTGTTCCCCATAACCCCTTGGAGAGCCTCAGGGTCTATTTTGTTTAACTTCTCTAACAAATTAATCCAATAAGTGCTTGTCTTAGAATTTCTAGTGCCCCTTTCTACTAACTGAAGATAAGTAATGACATCCTCGTCAGGCGCAAAGTTGCTATAAAGGCCGTCTATGTTGTGCAGAAACAAGCAGAATAACCCCTATTTTTTATTGCACTTTTCTAATATTCATAACATGATTACCAATTAGATGAAGTTTGAGAAATACTTGTTCTTTTTAAGTGGAATACCTTAAGCGAAATCAACTGTGCTTCTCTCTTTTTTATGGACCAGGAAACCTGAAACAGTTCAAGTGTTACTGTTTATTCAAAGTTTCTTACATATGTGATTGAATGGTGATGCTCCAATGGGACTATGAACTAAATTGGATTGTCTTAGTCAGGAGGGGGGCACTCTACACTGTGTTCTCAGTGTTATTAATAATAATTATTGTTCCATACTGACAGCAACATAGCATGGTTGGTTAGTAGTGGGGATGGTGGGAGGGGGCATTTTATGTAATAGACGCTTGCTCAAAGTGACTCTGAGTGCATATGTGTCCGTGTTAAAGAGCATAAGCAGATATCTAACTAAAGGAGAAAAGGTGTAACTGTGTTTTCACTTTGCTTTGTTGTTTTCAGGTATAAATTAAGCTTGAAGCCAAGATTGACAGTATAGTTAAGTGTCAATTACTTCCTGCTAAAGTAATAGACCAACAGAGTGTTGAGGCATTTAGGGCCAGTCTGATCTCTTTTTTATCTTAATACTGATTTAGTTACCTTTAGTTCCCTTTTTTTCTCTTCTACATCTGCAGTGATGGGTAAATCCTTTGCAAATTACGTACATAGAATGATGCAGATCATGTAGATGCTATGATTTACTCTGTCTAAGACATAGCAACATGATGCATTGCTGCGTCCAGATGCATACAGATGTTCATGATGCTAAAGCCCCCCCCCCTCAAATTCAAGCAAAAAATATATAAAATAATAATTTTACAAATATCTCCAGACCCCCAACAAGTTAGCACTTCTGGTGCCCGCTCTTAAGGCCCCCAATTCAAAATATGTTCAGCCATCCCTGTAAATAATGAAATTTTATGACCAAACATTCTGGAAACTATTCCAGAACAACCAATTCTAACCACATTGAATTTTCAGACCCAAGATCTCTATTCTCAACCCATCCCATTTGAGGGGTGGCAAATGGTAAATGTGAGACTTTGTGAGACGGTGAGACAAACATTTCTCTGTGAGCCGAGACATTTTGACTTTTTAGATTGCGAGACTGAGACTTCAAAGTGTTTTGAGTTTGAGCGCGAGACGTTCAGACCATCTTAGAATTTGAGCCCCAGATTTAGTTGAGAGCTAGAATGAGTTTGTACAGCCTTTTAGCCAGCTTCTTCAAACTGGCAGGAACTGGAAATTTGATTATAACACACTATGTTATGATCTCCTAGAACGAAATAAGTGTTTTTATGGTGCCAAAACAGACATAGCTTTTTGTAGCTTTTTGTGGAATTCAGACAATTTAGGAGAAGTTAGGATTAACTTTTTCTCTGAAATTTGAAAGTTTCTTCATTGAAATTCAATATCGAGTGACAAGAAGACCTCATTTATAAAAACGGATAAATGAATCGTGTGAAAAATTTAGAATCCGAGACAGCTTCATATAAAAATCGAGACTGTGAGACGCACATAACCACTAAAAAACGAGATTGCAAGACCCATGAAATTCGACTAAAATTTTGCGAGACCCAGAGTTTTTGAAGGACCATGCTCCACCCCTCATTTGTGACCACTTTATATATAATGTAAGACCTTTTTTCCCCCTTTTAAAAATGTTGTTGAGCAGCCTGAAAGCTATAGGAGAAAAATAAACAATTACCAGACAAAAGGTACATTATACACTTCTTTGAATCATGAGTTTTCATCGCCCAAATAATCTCATTTTTTGGAAGAGGCATTGTGATGCATTCTTTTTTCCTGGAAAATTTGTTACCCTGGTGGTGAAATGTCGTGCATCTGCTGTACATAAATATTATAGTCTGCTGTTCATGTGTGATCTGCTATCACATACCTACCTACCTACCTACCTACCTACCTACCTACCTACCTACCTACCTACCTACCTACCTACCTACCTACCTACCTACCTACATACATATACTTTATTTAACCTCGAATTTACAGAGTAAATTACAGAGTAATTTACAGAGTATCACTATTTTGATTGGCCTAAATTCATTGGCTGATTTCATGACAGCTGCATTGGAGCTAGGGAGTCAAAATATTTCACTGCACAGGCATCACTTGTTTACTACATTCGTGTGGTGCCTTTTCATTTCAACATCATACCACGTAGCTAAGCTGACTTTCACTGTCACTATTTTTAGGGAATCATTATGTTTCAGGGAGGTACTGATAAATACACAGTATATATTAGGTTAAACCAAGCTACAGCAGCTATTGCAAACTTGAAACCATACATGATTGAAAATTCAAATGTCAAATTATCCAAGCCAGCCTTATTTACATGATACTACTCCCAGAGTGAGGGGAGAGGGGGGTGGAGGTTACTCCCATACATCGGCTATATAGGTATGTGCCGCGGGATATGGTATGATTTCTGAGGTTCCTGATCCTCAAATAGGGTATCATTTTTGCTTCTGTTGTTGTTGTGTTCCCGTTGTGATTCTTAGACAGGGGACCTAAATTGTATCAGCTAAATTTCCACGGCGTAAATGCCCAGCTAAACGAAAAAAAAGCTTAACTTCCAACCCTAACCCTAAACCCTAAACTTTTTGATCTTTCAGGGTTTGATGGTACTACTGCACTGTGCAGGGCAGTCATTGCAGCAAATAAACCAATTAACTTAACAGATGTTTCAAGCGGAACCTCTCCAAACCGTGCTGATAACCTCACTGGTGCCAAATTGAACAGCAACGTGAACCCGACAAGCTTTCTTACCATCCACTTGGATATCAGTGTGAACCATAGCAACCCTGATACAGTGTTTAAAGCACTGGAATCAAATAACGGGCCCGTGCGGCTTTTCGTTTCATCCTTAACCGTTGTTCAGCTTGGAGATGACAGACTATGCAGGTTCCTGAAACTTCTAAATCCTGATCATTTATTGAAGTTGGATTTTTCTTACAATGGATTAGCTTTCTATGATAACGTGAATGTTGAGCTGTCAACAATTTTCCAAGAAATGAAGAAGTTTACAAAATTACGCTCCTTATGCTTGTCATACAGCGATTTTGGAGAAAGTCACTTGAGGAGTCTTTCCGAAATTTTGCAAGAACTTCCCTGTCTTGTATCGCTAGATCTTAGTGGGAATTATGTAGGCAGCAGCGTTGGGATTGTTTTGAACAGTGTTAGAAAACCATTGAACTGCCTAAGATTAGCGAAATGTAGAATAGGCAATGCTGGCATCGAGGCAATCGCTCGTTCAAAACATGCGTCACAGCTCATGGAGTTGGATGTTTCGCGTAATTGTCTATCTTCAGAATGCATGGAAAATCTACTCTACATTTTCGAGTCCTCGAAAAATACCATGCGGGAATTTTGCGTTCATGGAAACCAGGTTCCCCCCTTGCTAGGGTGAACAAACGATAAATCTCAAACTGAGTATACACTGGATAATCTGAGAACCTCGGCAGGAAATCAAGAGAGCATTTCAGGCGTTCCATTGAATTTCAATTGGTACCGATATCATTTACCAAGCTGGAACTAACAAAGACCGGAAATCGTGCACAGGATTTCCGGGGGCTTCTCTTGCGCGGTGTCCGGTCTTGGTCAAGTCTCTTTCGGTCCCCGTGGCTCTTTCAGCCGACCACAACTCGCGCGCGCAGAATGAACCTCGGGTGTTTAGTGTAATCCTAGATCGTTATTCACGTGAAATCTTCCATTCAATGTTTCTTCAACTTTACTAGGAGTTCGTTACTGGGGTTGTACTCAGTGGGCAGGTACCTTTCAGAAGTTTCAGTTGATAAACCTTGTCTCCCCTTGGGTGAAGGTGGAGCGCCTATCAGATTGAGCGCCAACCTTCGCTGAGTTTTATTCGCTGTCCTTAAAGACCGTTGGCAACGAGGTGGATGCGTTCTCAACAAGGTTCATAGTTGTGTCACTGGTGTTCACAAAATCATGGCTTCACATGTTACTGGTAATCTACTGTAGCTTTTCAAGTAGTTTTCTCTCCCTGTATAAATTTTAAGGTGAGAATTAAAAAAGTCCTTCCTAAGCACTGCTTCAGCTCGATCTTGTAGGATATATTGAAATCGAGCATCACACTGGTCTGCACCGTTGACGCAATTATGATAATGTGTGTCCGATGGTGTTAGTGGAACCCCTCTCCCCACCCCCCAACGGCTGCGTTACCATTCCTGATACAAGATGGCGTTTACGATGTCAACAACGAATGAGCTGAGCATATTTAGGGCGGAGGAAATGTCTTCATTGTGATGAGGGCAGGCCAATTTATTGTTAATTTGCACTGTGGTGCAAACTAATGCCCGTGCGTTCGTAATTTTCTCAGTCATATAATAAATTAGTTATCGAATGAAAGCTCGAGCAATTAAGAATTTACACTACTCGTGACATTTCAAAATTCTTTCAAATTGCACTCTAGGCTCTAGCAATTTTGAGATAATTCTCAAATATCAGTGGTAATCCTTAATTACACTTGCAGTCATACGATTACCTATACAAATAGATCAGAGAACCTTTTTGAATATATCGAGTCCCTCTTGTTTTAAGTAGAGAATTACTTATGTATGATTTCTTTGCCGTCAGTATGAAAAGCTAGTACACGCCCAAAGAAACGAGAAATTCAAAATGGATTATTTGCTATGACAGCCCCGTATATACCGTTAAAAATAGCCTGTGAACAGGGGGTCTTCTTTCCTTCCGCCTCCTCTTCGCCCCACCCTCGACTAGAGAGCCTGTTGACAGGCTACGTTACAAATAGCCAGGTAATTGATCATAGAGGGCCTGTCAAAAGACAATTGAACGTCTCCCTTGGGAATTTGAAAGCTTGTCGTATGACCCGGACTGTCTCTGTCGGATTTTTGTCTTTTCCGTCGTTCAAGCGACTGACGTTAGTAACTTAGAAAAAAAAGGGGCAGGAGTGTTTTTCAGGCAATTAGTATGTGTAATCCAGTATGACAGTATGGATGCTTACCATTAGCTAAAGAATCCGGAAATTTCGGTTGAAATTTCAATGGAACAACAATTTTCCGGAAAATTCGTTCGGAAATTATAGACCACCTCCAGAGGTAGTCCTCTTTTTCCGTTCGGAGCGGAACGGCGGAAATTTCCTTACCATTTGCTAACTTTTCCGGTTTCCAGTCTCTCATCAGCCTAAAACAAATACGGAAAGTCGAATTCTAAACGGTAAGCGCCATCTTGTTAGGTTGATTTGCTAATTTGGAAAAACCTCACGAGATCTTACAGTTATTCAACGGCCATCCTAACCGATTTATTCGGACAAATGGTAGCCAACCTATCGATTATTAGTGATATTTTGAAAATTCTTTCACATTGCATTCGCCTAAAGGCTCTTGCAATTTTGAGAGAATTTTCAAATATAACGAGTAGTGTAGATCCTTAACTGCTGGAGTATTTATGCGTTACTCATTTATTACATGACTGAGTAAATTGCGAACACTAAAAACAAACGATAAACTGCCCTGCTCTCAGCCAATCTCAATGAAGAAATGTTTGTCAGTCATACGATAAATGATGTAATTTAGACTGTTTTTACATCGGTGTCCGGGTCGTGACTGATGCCGGAAAACGTTCTTGAAGAACGGAATATATGTTCAGAGAAAGGACGTCTCGGTGCCGCACTCGCATAACAGTGGAGCATCCTGGCAGCTTTTCTAGACCTCATTTGTTAAGGCTGACTGTTACAGCTAACTTCTCAGAATTTATTTGGGACAAGAAGGTATGGTTTAAAATAGACTGAAAAAGATCATCATAGGGCACCTGGGCACAAAACAAAAGGCTTAATGGGCAAAACTATGGCTGTATAGGTGCACGTGCGTTATAAACCTTTGTTAATTTCTTTGCGGTTCTCTACTAATTATAAACAACAACGTGAAATAGCCAAGTTCTACTTAGTCTGAAGAACGCGAACGACAGCTGATTTTTACAATTTCCGTTTGGAATTGAACACTGTCATTGCATATTTAGCCTGAGCACGTTTTTAGAGCCATGGGCGTACCGAACAGATCTAGGCAATTGCGATTCGCGAATTTCGCTTGTAAAATATAAATTTATTTTTGACTAGGCGTCGTCGTCGGCGTCGCCGTCGTCGTTGCGCTCCCCGTGAATCTCTTGTTTGCGACAATCACGGTCACGTAGTAACCAACAGAAAAGCGTTTTTCTTGGGGGGTTGTTGTTAGGAAATCTGTTTATCTGTTTCCTTTCCCCAGCAGATGTGGCACGTCTTCTACTTCATACCAAACTGTTGCCAGCGTTACCAGAGTTCTCTCTTCTTTCCATCCCCTGGGCGAAGGGGGCGAGAAGAATAGACAGTCGCAGATGACTTGTGCGCAGTTCCGGGGCCATATTAACACCCTCAGTGAAAGGGGAAATATCATAATATATTTGACCAACTAGCAAGCACAATAGCGGCACGGGAAATACCCCGGGGGAACTCCCACGTGAATAAGTCGGGAATTTTCGTCGGAAAGTTTTAATTAAACTCCTAAAGGAGACCAGATGCAGAGTGGGCGTGCTTCGAGCTCTACTTGGCCCTAAAAGACACCACTTTGAAACGGACAGACAGCGTTTTTTAATCATTTCTTCAAGTGCAACCCTAAAAGATAACGAGTTAAAATAGTGACGTCCCTATTGGCCAAGAGAAATCAAATGCTTAGTCAACAGGAAGTCAACTGCGCGCGGGAACAGATATTGACTCATACTTAAAGGAACAGACTAGATCGGTTGCGTGCCCTCTCTATTCCGCCTTTTTCTCTTAATCCTCTTTGGTAAGTAAAACATAGAAAGGCGTTTAAAGGGTAAAAAAAAGCCACCTAAACCATCGTATATGGTCATGTATTATAATCTGATAATTTGAGAACACCTGGGAAATGTACAGAATATTCACTCGTACAAAATATTGTAATTTGAGTGGTTTAGGTCATCCATCATAATTTAGTTTATCTTCATTTGAATCTCTGTTCTCTTTGACATGTAAAACATAGAAAGCGAAGGAAAAAAGCCACTTAAGCTATGAAACCATCGTCTATATTACAGAGTCTGGCAATTTCGAGAACACTTGGCGGGGAATGTATAGAGTATTCGCCTGTGCAAACTACAGGTATAGCAGGTGAAGGCTGCATTTGAACGATTTCATTTATCCAGCAAAATTTCGAAACTAAAACAAAAAGGCTGCTGGATCGAAAGTGCTATTGAAGAAAGCAAGTTGTGGCAGTTTTTCTGTCAGTGTTTTTAACATCGTTGACAGCAAATGTCAAAAGTGTTTCCATAGACGTTGATCACATAACTTCCTCTTTCGCTTTCGCGCTATTTCTTCCAGTTGACATGTCATGTGATCTGATCTGTCGAGTGATATCGCCGTACCCCGGGGGTTACTCCGAGAAAAAATTGGTGGGGGTGTGCGGCCCGCTTCCCAAAACCCTTACCTTATATATGACCAAAATCTGCGATTTTCAATACCCCCTGTTTCAGACCTACATTACACTTAGTTCCCTAGTTCAGACCGACGTTAAAGGCATCGTGGAGGGCTTTTGTTGATCAGTGTTGTCGATTATGATGAAAAAGTAGCTTCTTCTTTAAAAAAAACAAACAAAAAAACAAACAAGAAACAAAAACAAAGCCAAACATGCCCAATTCAAGACTAGAGTGCAAAAACCAGACCCTATTAATGATCAAAATGGATAACATCGATACCCCATTTATGACCAAAACGGCTGAAAAATCATACCCTCTGGGGCCGCCGCACACACACCTATATACCCCATATAGGGGAGTACCTCCCCCCTGGGCGTCGGACATTTTGGATATTGTTATGCTAATGAAGCCTAGATTATCTACGCATATGTTAGTCACGCGTTTCAATTTATATTATGAATCCAAAACAGCCATTTGAGGTTGAGGAAGTTGGGAGGTTTTTGTTTTATAGTGTAGCCCATTTATCCCGTGACTATTAACGACTGTTGTTTCTGCAAAACAGAGAACGCCAGCCGAAAATAAGCATGATAGTGTCGCCGCTAATCTTTTTCTGCGGAGTACTGTTCAACCTTTACGTTGCATTCTACTGCTTACAGTGTTCAAGATGGCGGTCTTCGAACAACCTGAAATACTTCATCGTGTTCCAAACCTTTGTTAACACAGGCAATCTCTTCACACATCTGATTTTGCTGCTTCGCGATGAGTTAAATCCTGTTAACGACATCACGCGAATTGAAGATCACACGATCTGCGACATCCTACCGAATATCACAGCTTGTTTCATGTCATTGTCCGTGTTTAACCTCACTGCAATTGTTGTGGTACGCTATTTGAGAAATGAGCGCCGATGGACATTTTCAGTCGTCAAAATCGTACTCACTTTTCTGGGAATCATGGTGTCCACTGCACTTCTTCTATCACCTGCGCTTAACTACTTGTATCATGAAATGCCCGTTCTTAAATGTAACGGCTGTTACTGCCCGTCGCCGGGAGTGAGCTGGGAGGCCAATTTCGATGTATGGCTTTATGGCTATATGGTAATCTTGCTGCAATTCGTTGTTCCAGCGATAATTCTCTCGACCGCCGTTCTAAGAGGCCTTGCAAAACACTTGGAAGAAAGCCGAGCAGTAAGCGAGAATTGTTGCAAACCTCGTTGTGATTTGAAGAAAATAAACATTGTTACGTTGGCATCATGTCTTTTCATCACGTTCATTCTGCCAGTGCGAGGAATTCGCTTCGTCACTGGAGAACACTTTTTCCCGAATAATGTGTCGTTCGTCGAGATTGAATTACTTAACTCGGTGTTTTACGTTATGGAGGTTTCTTGGGCCGCAGTGACTGCGATGTTACCAGTCTGTTTGAAAAGCCTGACCGACGATGAAATATCAGGGGGACAGAAAAAGGCAGATACGGATGGGAGCCGATCAAACTTTTCCCAAGCAAAAACATACTGTGAAACTTTAGTCGAATTAGAGCTATGGGAATAGTTTCTTTGTGGTGATCGAACAACACATCTTCAGTGGATGGATCAGAAGTAATGTGGTAATGTCAGCATGAATTGCAAATTTATTAGATCTTTAAGTGAACGAGGTCACGCGAAACCGCCTTGTTTATGCAAAATGCTGAGTATCTCGAAAACAAACAGCCTCTTTCTCGCACCTTCTTATGCCCGTTCGTTACGCTCTAAAGAGCGACCTCGCGGGAATAATAATAGTGGTAGAAGGAGAAGAATGAAAAAGTACTGAAGGTCACTATACAGTCGGAGATTGTCAAACTAGTCAGAGTAGTTTGCATTATCATCATAACAGAGTATTGAGTGGCCCTCCACACAAGAATAAATTGATTTTGATTACGTAACTTATGGCAAACAAAAATCGTTTGATATTGAACAATGGACTAGTGCTAAATGTCTTACATTCAGCTGTTAATGGAACGGTTTAAACGATGACAGTCGAGGCATTTATAGATACATGCGTAGTGTGAGCTACCTCAGGCGTAATTTAACTATGAAATGCAATCCAAAGGCGTTTCAAAAATCGCCAAACCTCAAAGATTCATTGCTCACCAAATTGCCGCTCTTATACTAGTGTCATCAAAAGGTTCGTAACTCAGTTGCCGGAATAGTTTGAGCAGCAAAACAAAACGTTGCAGGGAACAAAATTGCAGAGTCATTGTCTAGTTTTCGTTCCACTTCGAGGCACCGCGAGATCATTTGACTGCTAGACAATTTTTTTATCTATTTAGACACACCTGTGTATTCTCTGTAGTTCAGTTGTGTTCATATATTTGCAGTTTGTTACATCTTATAAACGTAAACGAATTGTTAGTGTGTTAGCATTTACTTACTTTGTTAATGCAAATAGACATGGCTGACCTGGCTCATTGCCCACGTTCCTCACAGTTGTTGCGTATGCAATCAAGGTTCATGACACATAGAAGGAACGAAACCCAATATACAGCGATCTTCAACGAAAAATCTTGGTCAATAAAAGATTTATTTAATGCCATAAAGAGCGCCATTTTCTAGTGGGACGGAGAATAAACGACATAAACGCTTGAGTGATCACAATTTGTAAAATCATCTTGTTTATAGATAGTGCACACTCATTTTAATTAAAAACATTTTTGGTCATAAAGTTAATGAATTTCGTTTAGAAAATGATTATTTGTTTCATTAATTCAAAGCGGTTTCGATTTCTTGATTAAAATATTTCGAACTGATTACATGGCTGCTAAAAAGAGTTTCAGGAGCTCAAGAAATCCCTTACAATGGAAATTAAATTTCTCGTCCGCTATGATAAAATGGCTATCGATTCAGAACATTCAATCAGTATGCGTTTCTTTTGTGGAAATGCCGAAATAAAGTCGTTATTATTATTTTTTTATTATCATGATCATGATCATGATCATCACCATTATCATCATCGCCATCATCATCATCATCATTATTACTGTGAAGGTGAATTAATCAACACAACACGAGCGTGGGACAAAGAAAAATTCTGAGTCCCCGACAGGAATCGACACCTAATTAACAAATGGTAAACGCCATAGCGTGCACTATTGAGTTATGGATACACGCGGGAGGTTGCTAAGCACGAAAGAAGCGTAAGAGTCGCACGAGGGGATAGCCG